AATAAATATGGTTAATATACACATTAACATTGTTATTATTAATATTAATAATTATTAATTAAAAATAACAATTAAAATTTATTATTTAGTTATCTAAATTAAAATGTTAACAATACATAATCTCAAGATGTAAACTGAAATCATATTTTTTCCCTTATTTGAAGAGCATAGAGTTAACACACACACAACTAATATAATATAGTGTTATATATAACAGGGGCCTTCAAATATCAAAACTCATAAAGGTTGAAACTTGAAAGCCACTGCTTTAGAAGAATGGACCAGTATGAATGGCATATGACAGCTTATAATCACTTGCTAATTGAATGTTCTTCTCTTTGCTAACATTTGTAAATGGAGACCTGCTGCGCAGGTGTTTCTGTCCTTTATTTGTTAAATGTTTCAAACCATGAGTTTGTGATGTTTTGTGCATTCATTGTGAACTGGATGGCTAACAGTTAAGGTTATGTCCATGATAAGACCATTTTGGGAAACCAGAAGAAACCTCATATCTTCAGTTATTTTCAGTTACTGTTTGAGAAAGTCAAGCGGAGAAGAATAAAACCATACAGTGTACTGTAACTACTATTAGATTGTTTGGTCAAACCACTCCATTACTGTGTATCTTCCTTTTGTTTAACCTGTCAACAACCTCATGTCTCTCTAATATAACAGTTTATTACATAACTGTACCTTTTATAAAACGAATAAACAATGCATATAAATTTTTCAGCAATCTAGTGTTTTTATTTAGTTTTAATGTGATCTACTTGCCACAAGGGTGCAGTATTGGTCAAGTATTATGAGAATCTTTAGTAACCTGAAAAATTGTTCATGGTAGCTGTTATTACACAAATATACAGTATACTGTCAGTTGCTACATTTAGTAGCTATTAGAGCTAGTTCAGTTTTTGAAAATAACGTTTGACGTCCTTCTCAAAATTTACATCTATGAACATAGTAAACTAGCGATATTTGATAGAGATACAGATATTATTGCATATATAACTTGAGTACTCCCAGTAAAAGTGTTTTTTAATTGTGTGGTTATTTGTTCGAACTTAAGAAGCACAAGAAGAGAACGTTACCTCTCCTCCTCTTTGTTCCTTCAGAACAAAGCCAAAGACTTTCCCATTCGCCGTCTTAAAGAGTATACGCTGTCATTTACTGTTGACATGTTCTAACATCAGTGATGACACACTGTGGAGCGGGACCTGCCCATGCAGATGACTCTGGGTGTGGCAGGATCCGCTGTCTGCACATGTGTTTTTAGTAATGCAGTCTGCTCTGTTGATGAGTCCTCACCTTAGTCATGGAGGTCTGCTCATGCATGGCCTCGGGGCTGCACTTAAAAGGTCTTTGTTCATAAGAAAACAATGTCTTAAATTAATAGGTAGACAAACATGTTTATACTATCAGCAGTGCTAGTGAAACACTAAAAGTAAATGCTAAAAGTGAAATGGCACTTGAGAGTTCATTTGGGGTTGCTCCGATTGCTTCAACCCTCTGTAGACGCCCTTTCTGATGGGTTGCAGTTCTCCTGCAACAACTGGATTGGCAGCTTTTCCCCTAGTAACTCATTTGAGGGATTGTTGAGGGAATACTAGAGGGATAGTACAAAAATGCATACAATTATATTGTTGAATGAAAACTAGTAAATGTATATTAATTATATTAGTATAAAAAAAAAAAAACTGAAAAATATATTAACAATTTAACTTTTTTCAATTTTGATGCAAAGCAGCTTTTTTCATTTTTTCAAATAAATGTACAATTTTTTGATACTGAGAAAAATGTAAATTAAATTTAATCAATTTAATTTGTCGAATATGGTAAAGCTGTAACCAAGTGTAGTATAGTTGTTGTTGCCACATGCTTATGGTCATATATACTGCACAATAAATTGATATAAATCAATGTTTTACCTTGATTTTGCTTATATGCAGTATTAAATACACGCATCATTTTATTGAGCTATTTTAAATAAAAATGATACATAACAAAAATGTTATTAGTCATGTTGATATTAAATTAATATTTATCTTAATTGTATAACTTAATTAAACTGCTAAAATACTCTAGATGTAAACTGTAATCATATTTCTTTTGTCCCCTATAACTATTGTTTTTAATCTAACAATATACAGTTCTTTTGGAATAACTTCTGGACTCTGGAGAATTTCATCATGCTGTATTTAAGTACGTATGTGCATCATTATTATATTTATCTTAAATACTATACATTTTATTTATCTGATTTCATTCATTTTATTTTTTATTATTATTTTTTTTAACTCACAGACAGTTTCGGTCCTGGATGCTCGATACAGCGCTCTGATTGGCTGCTTAATGTCAATATCATGTTATCATTTATATAGGGACTATATTTTCTAGCGGAAGGTGCCACTTAATGAACGCTTTTAATGGAGAATTATGTCTTTCGATATTTTATGACGTAGCCTTTTAAATGTGTAAAAGCCACAGGACTCTTTAAGATGCTCTGTTTTGTGAATAAATACACCTTCGCGTCGTGCCTAACAACGCCCTTTCCATAATATTAAAATGAAAATTGGACCCTTTTAAAGTGTATCTATTATCCTTATTAAAAGTGACGCTTTGTTCTATCATCAATGAGCTTTCTTAGTGTAATCAGGAGTGAGAGGAGCAGAAGAACAGGTGTTGAATGGGCGTGAATGAGGGCAGGACCAGGTGGATCTCTCTGTGAGTCAAACGCAGAGCAGCCAGACGGAGCAGATAGTTGGAGCTTTACGAATTGGACCTCGCCTGTCTCTGGAGTGGAGACAAAAGCCAAAATGATGCCCGAACCTTTAAAATCGGCTCTGTCCATCGGAGATGTGGAGGACACGTCTCTCGCGCTTCCGTCCGATCACGAGCTGAGATCCGCGCAGCAGCGAGTTCTGGAGCAGGTTCACACCATCAAGAGGAGCAAGTCCAAAAACAGCAGCAAAAGTGTGTCCGGACTCTCTTCCCCCACCAGTGAGTGCACTTCAGCTGATAACACACGGCTTTTAAACGGAATCGGCATGTGTTTTTGTTTTACTTTTGATATGGAAATACCATGGTATTCATCTTCCCTGGACTTCATTTTCAAAAGCGTTCCATGGTATTGCCATATTTTTTTCTGTGATACTTTATGGTGAGAACGTGGTACGTTTTGAGAGGCGGACGAAGTACTCAACTCCATAACTTGAGTGAAAGTACAGATACTGCTGGTCAAATATTACTCCATTACAAGTAAAAGTTGTAAAGACAGATTTTTACTTAAGTAAAAGTACAGAAGTACTTGCTTTTAAAAGTACTTAAGTACCAAAAGTAAATTTCCGTTTTTATGTCAATGCACTGTTTTATTGTCGTACATAATACTTGCAATACTTCTGAAGCAACTTAGAATCATCTATGTGTAACCATTTGTCCACATTTGAACAGAGTGGACAGTGAAATCCTGTAAATACAGAGTGATAAGGAAGAAAAAAAAATCAAACCTGCTTTAAAACCCAACAACACAACTGTAGCTGTATAACTTTACAACAGCAACACTGCTTTAACAAAAAAGCAAAACAGCAAGACTTATTTGACATCAAAACAAAAATGATAAAATGCTGTCTAATCGCTCTCGCTGTACTTTGATGAAACACACACAGAACGGTCTGCAGTGCTGCTTCAAGTCAAACACCTATTGTGTTTTATTAGGAGATGCACAACAGTTCTTCTGTTGCTTTATAGGTAATATTTTCATGTACACAATTTAGCAAAATCAGAAAATATTGTCTAATATATACCACAATATTTCTTATTATTGAATTGTTGTAAATAAATATCACATTTGCAGCTGGTCAGTGTTCAAAAAATGCTGGGAAATCTCTTCATGTAGCCCTACAAGAGTGATTACCGATAAACTGTCTGAAAAAAAGAAAAAAAATCACCCACTGACTTTCAAAGCTGCTACATAGTAACGACTTTCTACTTCGAGGATCTTGATAGAAATGTAGTGGAGTGAAAAGTACAATATTTGTCTTTCAAATGTAGTGAAGTTAAAGTCATAAGTTCCCAGAAAAAATAATACTCAAGTAAAGTACCGATACTCAAAAAGTGTACTTAAGTACAATACTCAAGTAAATGTACTTAGTTACTGTCCGCCTCTGTACGTTTTACAGTTTACACTCAAAAGGTAACACCATGGAACTATTAGCGGACTTTTTGACTTGCAATTACTATAGTAAGTATGTAGTATGTAGGCCTACATGCGAAACTGCTTAAATGTGTTTTTAGTTTTAGCTAGGTTAACCATCAAATAATATATAAAATGAGTAATAAAGTAATATTTTCGGATGTTTTTCAAGAAAGATGTGCCTAATTTGAGTGCTTTTGGAGTTGTTTTACTCTGCCATACATAGCCTCTTGATAAACAGCTCCTCGTTATTTGTTTACTGGTAGTATATTTGCATATTGAAGGTTAAAATTCGGTCTCTTGATTTTTATTTTTAATTTTATTATTATAATTTTTTTGTCCCAACAAGAGAACAAAAGAATTGATACAAGAAATGTGGAATTGTTTGATGGAGTTGATTTCTAATATAAACTCTTTTTATTAATAGGTCAACCACCAG